TTGTTGTGTTTTGTTTGCTATTTCCTAAAACATCTGCCATGGCCAGTAGCAAGAACCAGAGGAGAAAAAACTGGAAGACATCTCTTTGCCACATCTTACAAGTTAGTGATTATTCCACTAAAAATGAGAAGGAGCAAAGTCTCATTTCCTAAGACACTATGAGTAGGCTAGAGATGGAGAGAGGGTATGGAGTGGTACCATAAACCCTTTAATCATCTCCAGCACTGGTAGATAGCATCTATAGAAGACAGGTTCAAACAAACGTATTCTTCTTCCAGGATGGAACACTGGTGTAGAAGCAAGCAGTCGTATATCTAGTCGCTAAGACACTGTTATCAGATAAATCTGAATTCAGATCATGAATACACTGCATACTCTTTGTGACGATAGCTTTCATGATACATGCATCTTTGGAGTTCAACCACACAATATATATAAATTGCTTTGCAAAATAGTAAGTGCCAGTAAAAGGGAGTTAGTGTTAACACATGAGAAAAAGGAAAGGGAAATATCATTTTCTGAAAAACTCCTCTAAACCAGTACATGGAAGCTCTGCACTGACAATTTATATGGTTTACACACCTTAATTTTCCTAGTATCAAACAAAATGGATAAAACTATTTCCATCTTACAAATGAGGAAAAGAAGATTCATAGAAACTCCGATTTGGGGGACTCTGTTTTTCCTTCACCATGTTTGATGGCTGCATTTCTCCATTTGACTGATTCCCCCATCAGCCATCATGCTAATGATGCACACCAACTACAACTTTCCTTTGGGGTAAAGTGTGGTTTTAAGCAACAGTAGTCTACTTTAGTCTACTTTAAGTGATAACAACATCTGTCTAAACCACCCAAATTTATGTTCATAATTTATTTTCCTTTTATTTTAAAGAGAGAAAAAGTACAGTCTTGAAGGGACAAGCAGAAACAGGAAGAGGTTCCTTGGACAGCTGCTCCAAGCCTCTCACAAAACACAATTCCAGAGGAGCAACCTCTCCTGCCTAACAGAGTAGAGACACCGCGAGGACGCAGGCTACAGCCAGCTTTTGTGCAGATCCCCAAATCTGAGGTTTTCATTCACAAATCTCCACCTTGGCAAATGCGATCCCCTCTATTTTGGCATTCACTTCCATTTTCTCCAGTTAAATTATCGCCAGTTCTTCAAAATCCAGCCAGAGTTTCCCCTTTTTACTAACTTTTGCTGATACCCCACCATAAAGTTAGTTGCTAAAGTGTGATTTATTCCTGTTTAATGAGTTCTATCTCACTATATTAGAAGATATTATGCATAAGTTTTTCCTAGTAAGAATTTTCAGTGAGTTAGGGGAGAAGGATGGAATATAGCAGTGGAGGTATATGTGTGCTTTTTTGTGTTAAAAAAGATTACCTGACATGAAATTCTTTGACTTGTTTTTTTGTCAGGCCCTTAAATGCATGTTATAATTCCGAATTCTTTTAAAGGAGAGCATAAGATTACTTTTTAAATCTAAATAGAGCATAAAAGTCCGAGAAACAGTGAGCTAGATCCTTAAGGACAAAGACCACATTTTAATCATTTTTGTATTCTCAGAATACAGCACAGGGGCAGACAAAAAGTAAGTGTGAGTGAAAATTGCCTGAATGAATAACTGTGCCCAAAGTCCTAACACTAATTCTCTGGAATCAGAACCTTCTAGAACAAAATAAGGTCCAAGTACCAAAGTTTTCTTCCTTTTCTGTTTATTCTTTCTTCTAGTGAGACTGTACTCATATAAGGTAAAGGTAGGACCTAACTTCTTGTCTGTTGCCCTTAAACAAGATGTCATGGCTTGTCTTTTCAAAAATAATTCTCTGGGGGCTGGCATTGTGGCACAGTGGGTTAAGCCACTGATTGCAACACCAGTAACCTGTATCAGTGCTAATTCAAGTCCTTGCTTCTCCACTTCTGATGCACCCCCTGATAATCCATCTGGGAAAGCTCTGGAATATGGCCCAAGGTTGTGGGTCCCTGTCACCCTTGTGGGAGACTTGCATGTAGTTCTAGGTTCCTGGCTTCATCCTGGCATAGCCTAGGCTTTTATGTACATGTGTCGAGTGAACTAGCAGTTGGCAGATCTATGTCCCTGACTCTCCCTCTGTAACTCTGCCTTTTAAATAAATAAAATAAACCTTTCCAAAAAAAGTAATACATTTAAATGAGGGAGTGATAAAACTGGCCCAAGAAGCTTCTGAGAACTGGATTCCAGAAGTCATTTGCTTCTCCAATGTATAAAACTCTGTTGGCCAGTATTCCCTGGAGGGGTTTGTGTAGGGGAATTCCAGCACAGGAAAGAAAATTCCAGGTAGGGCAGATGGGAACTATGACTTACATGTGATGCCACAGAACAGCTAGAACTCATCATAAAAATTCCCTATAGAGCACAGCGTTGACGACCGATCCAAGGAAGATCACGAGCATCACTGACCAGCAAGGAGCATGGAGGTGCGCTGAACATACACCTCTCAGCCCAATTTCAAACTGCAGGAACCTTCACCCCTCGATCCTCAGGGAAGCTGGGAGTTAAGCTGCTGGTTCCTTGTTGTGCATGTTACAACAAACATGTACTTTCCTCCATCAGCCCAATGTCCATGGTTGGCTTCTGCACACTGGCCAAGAGACTCAGGCTGGAGATTCTACAGCAGCACTTCCAACTAGTTTGGGGCATTATTTTGCTGCATTAACCCATCCCAGCCTGTCCTCCTCGGTGAAATAGATAGATGATAGATAGATAGATAGATAGATAGATAGATAGATAGATAGATAACATTGCCATGATACCTGAGTAGTATTAAAAGGATTAATTTAGGGACAAGTATTTGGATTGTCCCATCCAATTACCACCCACGGATCTACAGTTCCCCAAATCAGGCTCATGCAAAGAGAAATCAATTACCAGGACACAGAAGGTTTGAACAGGCATGTTGGTGGTCTCCTGAGAAGCCAGGGTTGGCTTTGACACTCCCAAAAAATTAACTGCCTTCTTATTTTACCTGTGGTTGTGGGCACAATTTTGAACATATCAAAGCAATCCTTAAAAATACAAGTTTCCCCCAAAGAATGTCTGTAAAGGAAGAAATGCTTAAAGTAAGGACACAAAGTAAATTTGCTTCCCAGTAGGTCTAGGCCTAGTAGTCATCATTTAAAATGCAAAAAAATCTGTTTCCAAGAAAAAAAGTATATATACATATATGAATACATATGCATACATATAGGATATACTGTGTACATCTGAAGTGCATGTGACAAAATATTTTTAAAATAAACAAAATAAACTTACAATAAAAAAGAAACCATTCAAGAAAACTGAGTAGATCCAGTGGGGCTCAAGTCAAACCTGGCAGGTGTGGCCAAGGAACGCATCAGATTGCAGTCTGCCCAAACCACACACCTCTCCTCCAGGGAAGAGAAACCGCAGCAGTAAGGTGACAGCTTCATCTGGTAGCAGCTCTGCACTAGCCTTGGCAGCACCTCATGACTTGACCTCTAGTAACTCACTTAACATTCCTGGGCCTGTTCCTCACACAGGCAGTAAAGATACAAATGTTCACCTTCTTGCCCCTTTCCTGCAGTGACTGTGAGAAGTTATTAAAAAATTCAAGAAGCACTTTACAAAGATGTGTGAGGCCACAGGGGTGGCAGCACTAACAAATGGCCCCATACAGACAGGAAGAAATGATGGGCCACACTTTGGAGAATTTCTATAGAGAAGCTGCTCACTTACTTTGCCTTTCTGACAGACTTTAATCCATCCTTAAAAAGTCCATCCTGGGAAAACCTAAGAACCCCTGCTGCCTGAAAATTTTCCATTATAAAGACTGGTACCTTCCTTTATTTCCTCTTTTCTGTTGGCTGCCCCCACCAGGAGTTGTGTGTACCACATGGTCACAACTGTGAGAACCCAAAACATACCAAGCCACTTAATACTGGCTGGCTTTTAAAAAATATTAACTGGGTAAAATATTACTATTGATCAAGTATCCTCTTTGTAAACTATTGTCTCCATAATTTTTTTTTTTTTTTTTGACAGGCAGAGTGGACAGTGAGAGAGAGAGACAGAGAGAGAAAGGTCTTCCTTTGCCGCTGGTTCACCCTCCAATGGCCGCCGCTGCAGCCGGCGCACCGCGCTGATCCTGGCAGGAGCCAGGAGCCAGGTGCTTTTCCTGGTCTCCCATGGGGTGCAGGGCCCAAGCACCTGGGCCATCCTCCACTGCACTCCCTGGCCATAGCAGAGAGCTGGCCTGGAAGAGGGGCAACCGGGACAGAATCCGGCGCCCCAACCGGGACTAGAACCCGGTGTGCCGGCGCCGCAAGGTGGAGGATTAGCCTATTGAGCCACGGCGCCGGCTCTATTGTCTCCATAATTAATAACAATATTGTCTCCATAATTAATCTAACTAAGGGTTAAATCAGATGATGTAAGGGATTCAGTCCACTAACCTGGCTTCTAGAATAGAAGGTGTTCAGGAATGTCGTTCTCTATCCAATTCCCCACCTTTCTACATTTGGTGAATTAGAGGATATAAAATAATCTTAAAAGAACTACAAACATCAATAAAACACCAATAAAATATTATTCTCGCATGAGGATGTTAATTTATGCGCTTTGCAAGCCCTCTAAGTATTCACACCCATGTATTATGTTATTTATTACATTATTCTTACAGCCAGAGACGCAGAGATGCATTGCAGGAACAGAGCAGCAGGTAAGATTTTTCCAGAAGACAGAGTTTAGGAAAGGCCAGGATTTGCCGGTGGGTCAGTAGCAATAAGGGTTCACTCTTAAAGGTTCATCTTCAGGAAAGGAAGAAGGAAGAAGAGCACCGACCGATTCTTGAGAGTTTTGGGGTTAGGGAGGGATGCAAACAAAAGCGAACACCTTATAATTTCCATTCCGTTTCCCCTGGAGACTTTCCAGTCCCTTGGTGAGGGCCCGCACGTCCGCAGCCTGCACACGCCCCGGGCTGGACTCCATTTCCCAGAGTGCCCAGGCGCTCCAGTGTGTTCCGTGCTCTACGTGCGAACGTGGGAGGTCGGTGCGCGCGCGCCTGCGAGTCCCCGGACTGGCCTGGGGCGTCCCCGGATCCGAGCGAGCGCGCTTGCCTCCCCGCACTCGCAGACCCCGGCTCCGCGCCCGCAGTCCCGGCTCTTTCCGAGCGCAGCCCCCCACTCCCGGGCCGGCCCCCGCTGCTTCCGCTTCCGCCGCCCCGCGTGCCCAGGACTGTCCTGGCGGCGCGCTCCCCCTTGCTCCCGTGCGTCCCGAAGAGCGCGGCGGTGCTCCCCAGGGATTTCCACGGCAGGTACAGAGCCGGCAAGGGCTGCGGATGCGTGTGTGCGTGCGGGCGCTAGGGCAGCTGGCGGGTCGGGGACAGCTGGTGCACTTTCTGGGCGCGCTTCCGGGGCGATCGGGGCTGATCCCCCCGGGCAGCGGCCAGGGGCTGAGGCTCGGGCTGCCCTGCCTTCGGCCGTCGCCTCCTACCCTTCCAGCGCCTGGCGAGCCCCACGCGCGCTCTCAGCCTTTCCTTTAGGCGTTTTATTTAGGGGGATCCGAAGAGGGAGCGACCCGACGCGGGAACTGTGCGTACCTGTACAGCGAGAGGACCGCGAAGGGAAGCACCCGCACTCCGGTTCTCGTATTTTAAAAGCTCTGTTCCCACTTTGGGTCGGTCGTGAGGGCCATCTTCTCCGTGTATCCCATGCAGTTTCCGGCGGGGCGGGAGAGGTCCTGGCGGGAGCCCGGGCAGCCGGCGGGATGGGGAAGGAGAATCTGATGAGAGTCTGCCGCGCGGTTCCCAATCTTGCCCTGCAGGCCAGCGGGGTAGCCGCGGACACCTCGGGCAGTTGGGGTCCTGAGCGCTGGGCTGACTTTGTCCCAGCAGGAGCAGCGTGGGGGCGGGGTAGGCCGTGGCTTTGTGGTGTTTGGTTAACAAAGACTTTTTGCAATTTGGAGTTTGAGGCTGTGGAAAAGTAGCTGATGACTTATTTGGCTGCTTTTCGACTTTTGTCTTCAGTCCTTTCTTCCTCTTTTAGCAGGGCTGTCACTGTTATTACTTGTTGATCCCTTTGCAAGGTGAGAAGTGCTCTGAAGTTAATGCAAATCTACCGCTTGGGGCAGTAACGGGAGCTGTTTTCCTCTGGAAAGTGCTAACAGGAAGAAAAGTTAACACTTTCCCTTTATCTGAAACTACCATCATCTCAATGCTCCACCCATGTTGTTACAATGTATAGTGTTTTAATTAAGATGTCCAATTAGTTTTCTTATTTTGGGTTCTGTGTTTAAGCCTATAACATTTTTTTTTACATTGGGAGCATATCAGCTATACATTTTTATAATGACTGTGCTCTGTGGAAGCCTCCAGACAAGTTGTTAGTGTGAGGAGGAGGTAAGAAAGAAAAGGGAAAAGAAAAAAAGTGCCCACACAGTGGGAGTAAAAGAGATAAAACACTATTGCTGCCTAATGTTCAGCATAATAAATTTTTCAAATGATGAACCAGGCTTGAGTGACTCACCTGTTCTGTTAGAGTGTCAGCAGAAATACCAATTTTTGAAGCTCGTTAAATGAGGTCACGTAGGAAGTATAAAAAGTGAATCCTGGGTAGGAAGAGTATTAGGGTAGCAGCGTTGCTCCTCTCAACCCCGGTGTGCTGTTTGTTCTTTTCTTTAGCATAACTTCCTGCCATAGTGCTTGTTGATAGAGAAGCAGCTCCTTCAAGCCCTTCAAGCAGCTGTAAGCTCACTCACATGTTGCGTAACCATTAATTGACTTGGAAATATCCAGTATCAGGATTCCTAGGCTTGTCAGTCTAACTGGCTGTCCAGGGCAGATCATTCCTTGTACTGCTACTAAGTTGGTAAGCAAATTACTTGCACGTTGTCCTTCCACTCCACAGCATTTCCTATCTCATTTTCAAAGCTGTGACAGGCTCCGGGTAGGCAGGTGGTGGTATTTACACACTGCACAAATTGCCACTACCAACCAAGACCCACAGCAGAACTCTCTCTAGGGAAGTTTTCCAGTCAGCTGGCCCCAGGGTGATTATTTTGAAACAAGATTATTTTGAAACAAAATATACATGCTGTATCCAAATAATGGAAGTTGTTCCACACAACCCTCCCTTTTATGTTAGTAAGGAAAAGGAGGGAAAAAAGGTTCAAAATGCCTTTTCTGTCCTGGTCCAGCTGCTTCTTCTCACTTCGTTGTTACCCATCCACTAGGATTAGCCCTGGATTTCCTCTGACTTCTTTGTCCTTTCATTTTTTTATATATTTATATTTTATTTTATTTAATGAACATAAATTTCTGTCCTTTCATTTTAATTAGATGCAAGTTCATATAAGAATTAGACAGACTGGGTCTCTGAGTTAGGAACGGACTTCAGAGTTACATATCTACCTGATAGCTTGGGTTAGAGAACCTCCAATCTCAAGATACTTTCTTATTCTGGAATTTATATTATTAGATATTGTTTGAAAGAAATAAGCTAGTAGAATTTGCCTGTCATGGAGATTGGGGTGAAACAATTAGATGTGCTGTAATATTTTGAGGAGCATCCAAATTCAGGGTCCTAGAGGTTCCAGTGTGTGCTTCAACACTTTGACCCTCTTGCTGAGGGGAGACCCATCTGTAAGCCTCCCCCATATGTGTGCACAACAGATTGTCTCTGCTCAGGAGAGGCTTCGGGTGGGACTTGAAGGACCTTGCAGGTTAGGGGAAAAATACAGAGCAAGGCAGAGATAGGACTTCTGGACTGGGATGAGAAGGGAAAGGGAGAGGGGAGATGGGTGGGGAGCCGCATAGGGACTGTGTATGTGGGGATATGAATACACACACAAACACAGCAATGTTTGTCTAAAGAACAAAACAATATTCGGGAACTGAAATAGCTTATGAAGTACCCGACTGTACTACTTGGAGGGAGCCCTCTTACATGTAGTTGTTTACTTGAAATCAGGCTGCAACAGAGAATCCTTTCCCTGACTCTGATTACAACATTCCTTCCTTAGGTGGTTTGGAGCAAAAGTTACCCAACTTTTGTTGACTTTTGTGAGTGTAGGCTGGTAGAGCATATTCTGTACAGATGTGTGACATCTCAGCTGACATTTTACTTTGCCAGATCTCCATGAAAATAATCCACCTTTTGCCTTTCTCAGCAGAAATCAGAGCAACGTTATTCTTCTGTGTCTGGGGCCAGTGACTCTTTCCCTATGCTGTGGAGGGAGATACTCTGACTCAGAATTGTAGCACTTCAGCCTGAGGAATGATGGGCGGAGTTCAGATGAAGAGGGCTTCCTGCCCTAGAGGTCTTTCCTTGGCTGCAAGCATAGCTGTGCTCTGTGCTGGGCCACTATGATGGGATGAAGAGGCGCTGTGAGACTTGGAAGGGCTAATCCCTTAGTTAAGAGCTTTAGAAGTTAGAACTGGGCCAGAAGAATTGGAAAGAGCAAGCATTTGAAAAGACTTTACTTGTGTGGCAGACTTCATTATGAGGTTATTTAATAGGCCATTAACAAACAGATTAGTTGACAAAATCTTAATTAATAAGTTACAGGATTATTCTTCTAACCTCCATCTGTCCATCTCCTATTTCATCCCAGGGACTCCATATGCTCCTTAAGCTAAATATATCCGATGCAATGAAATTCAATCTTTTTATTAAAATGAAAGCAGGCAGATGCAGAACTTAGTGCTATGCCTAATAATAATAGCAGACATTATTTGAATGTTTCTTGATGTCATACAATATTCTGGATGCATTGAAGGTAGTCAGTTGTTTACAACATCTTTATGAGATAAGTGTTATGTATCTCCATTTGCAGTTGAGGAAACTGAGTCCCAGGATTTTTAAGCAAAGCTCCCTTTGTCACATAAGCGAGAAGGAACATTGATGAGAGTCAACCCCAGGCAATGTGGCCTCAGAATCAATTAGAAGGAAGAAAACCCCAGGGGAGGGAGACCTATGAGTCAGATTCATGAGATAATAAGAGTATTAATGATATTTCTCTCTGTTCACGGAGTGCCACACACTGTTCTTTTTCAGTATTTATTTGAAAAGTGGAGTCATAGAGAAAGGAAGAGAGACAGATAGAGAGGGATATACAGAGAGCTGCAGAGAGAAATTCTTCATCCACTGGTTCATTAACCAAATAGCTTTAATAGCCAGGGCTGGGCCACATTGAAGCCAGGAGCTGGAAATTCCAAGCAGATCTTCCCCATGGGTGGTGGGCCCGTGTACTTGGGCCTTCTGCTGCTGCTTTCCCAGGTATCTTAGCAGGAAGCAGCACTGGAAGCATGGAGTAGCCAGGTCTGATGTGGGACGCCAGTGTCACAAGCAGCAGTTATATAACAATGTCTGACTCCAAACACTGTTCTAAGTACTTCACATGGATGGATACACTTGAGACAGGCTGTGTCCATACTAGAAGAAATTGTAGAAATCTTCTGTAGGGCAGCAGCCTTTAGGTACAGTTGATTTTAGCCCACTATCAAGCCTTTGTCATCCTTGCCACACTGTGGGTTTTTTGAGTTAGGAACTGTGTCTTATTCATGTTTGTTGCAAGTTTCTGATGAATTGCCTGCGATTTACTAGTTAAACTCTTAAAAAAGTTTGCTAAATGTATTCCTTGATGGGATGGGGTAAGATGATTTAGTATCTGTTAATTCCTAATCTTCTTTGTGCTGCAACCCCTGTCTTTGGGCTGCCCAAAGTACTTTATAGATCCTGTGGTTTAAGGAGTGTTGATTGTGGGCTGGCAATGTAGTGCAGCAGGTTAAGTCACCACTTGTGATACCTGTATCACCTATCAGACTGCTGGTTTGAAGCTTGACTGCTCCAGTTCCAATCCAGTTTTTGGTAATATGTCTGGAACAGCAGCAAATGATGGTTCATGTACTTTGTTCTCTGCCATCCATGTGGGAGACCCAGATGGAATTTCTGGCTGGCTCCTGGCTTTAGCATGTCATAGATCTGGCGGTTGCAGCCTTTTGAGAAGTGAACCGCTGGATGGATGATTGATCTCTTCCTTTCTCTCTCTCTCTCTTGCTCTGCATTTTAAATAAATAAATATGTAAATAAATAAATTTTTAAAAAAGAAGTGCTGAGTCTGTGAGACAGCAGACATGCATCTGTTCTTTGTGTGCCTCCTTTTCTCAAGGGTAAAGTGGGATGAACATTGATAGAATTTACACTGGACCACTTTTTCTTAGTAACTTTGGAGAGAAGATGAAGAAGTAATAGAAGGCCTAGAACTATTTTTAATTTTGAGCTAGGAGAGAACTGTATCATGCTGCTTTATTTTTCTCATTTTCTGTGTATCGTATTTAAATAAAACGCAAGAATTTGTTTTCCAAGGTGGGTGTTTAGTGCACTGGTTAACATAGCACTTGAAACACCTGATCCCATTTTGGAGTGCCAAGTTCAAGTCCTAAATCCTTCATTTCTTAACCAGCTTTTTGCTAATGTACACCCTGGCAGACAGCAGGTGATAACTGAAGTACCACACATTTGGAAGACATGGATAGAGTTCCAGGCTCCTGGCTTGAGTCTGACCCAGTACCCACTGTTGTGGGCATTTAGGGGTATACCAGTGTCTTTCCCTGCCTTTCAAGTGAAAGATAAATTGCTAAAATCTTAAAAAAAAGAATGTATTTTCCCTTGTATCCTACAAAAAACTTCTTTTGCTCTATGTAGATCTTATTTGTATATTTTGCAAATTTTCTTCTAAATCTCAATATGAAACCTTGCTGAGCACTGCCATCAGGCTGTCTACTTTGCTCCCATTCCATGATATATCCCCTTACATCATCTTCAGTTCACTGTAACTGCTCATAAACCCCCAGGCTGCCTCCCCATTTTGCATCCTTGTGTTCTTTCTAAGAAACTTGGTCATGGCCATATGAACTTTCTTTAGCAGCATCCTAATCTTTTAAGAGACTTAATATGCAGATTGTGGAGTAGTTGATTTTTGTTCTGAGCCTTAGCCTTAAGTGGGTTATTCTATGAAGCTGATTTTGGGTAGTGGGTAGAATTTTGCTGGATCAGAAGTTGGGGTGGGGGAGTTTGATGTTAGGGAAATAAGGCTGTCACTGCCCTTTAGTCTGTGCCCTACCTTGCAACCCATGCCTGTCATTGTATTCATTTTTAGAACTCTGGAGTGAAGACAGTAGTGATGGAATGAAGGAAAGAATTTTTCTTAGAGAATTTAAGAAGCTGACTTTTTTTCCTAACCTAAGCTTTGCCTTCTCACCTCCACTCTTCCTGCCCATTTGTTCCTACTTTTCAATCTGGTACTTTTAGGTTTTTCCTTTCTTTTCTTATACTACTTTTGTCCTATACCCAGCCTTGCTCCAAAAAGGAGTAGTGAATACAAATTATGAACTAGTGAATATAAATTATGAGCTAATGATTCAGAGAAAATTCATATCCAGTGTGGAACATAGAAAAGAAAAATCCATTTAAAAAGAGACACCATGCAGAATTCCTCTAGATGACTTTTCTTTCTTCAGAGCTGCATCAACAGTAATTTATTCCTTCTGATAATGTGACACAAAATAAATACTTCTAGGTTTCCTGATTTACATTCTCTGTTGGTTCGAGAGGCTGGCAGGTTGTTAGAGCAGGGGAAGAGCATCTGTCTTCTATTCATTTGTGCTGAGCTTCAGGTAAACTGGAAAGAGAGGAAATTTTTGCACAGGAAAAATGAAGTTGTTGGAGGATTGAGGGAAGGGAATCTAGAGTGTAGAGGGGAATAAGTGCAAGGCAGTCTTCACAGGGATGTTTAGAAAGAAAACCAAATGAGAGCTAAATCAGAGAGCCAAAAAAAGGAAGAACTTGAAGATATAGGTGGGAAGATGGGAAATTTGCATCATCTCAAGGAATTATGAGTAATCTTATAACATCTTTTTGATGAAGTTGTAGGGAAAAAGGATTTTGTACTCATAGTTGGTAGAAATATAATACAGTAGAGTCTTTTTGGAGGGTAATTTGGCAGTTCTACCTGCAAAATTTTTAAATGCAAATGTTCTTTGGTGGGATTCAACTAGAGAAATTTTTCCTACATATATTTGGTAAAGTACATAAAGACTTTGTAAAGTTCTTTCTAATACTGCTTGTAATGGGAATAAAATAGAAACAACCTAATTATATATTAATAAGGAACTGATATTGTGATACATGCATATAATAGAATAATAAATATGGAATGGTTTGAAAAATGATTTGGGTACAGAGTACTTATGTATAAAATAATGTACAGAAAATATACCTATTTGGAAAAATACATATATACATATATATATCTTTATGAAGGTACTTCAAAGGTTCATGAGAAATGACGTTAAAAGAGAGGTTGTTTTGATGCTCAAAAATTGAAATCCTTCGATAGTTTTTTGTGATATACATTTTATACAAACTTTTTGGACATGCCTTCTATGTATGGATTTCAAAATTTGTTGCACCAAAACAAGTAGTTTTTTTTTTTTTTAAAGATTCATTTATTCTTTTTGAAAGTCAGAGTTACAGTGAGAGAGGGACAGAGGGATCTCCATCTGCTGGTTCATTCCTCAGGTGGCTGCAATGGCCAGCACTGAGCCAGGCTAAAACCAGGATCCAGGAACTTCATCTGGGTCTTTCACATGGGTGGCAGTGGGTGGCAGTGTCCCAAACACCTGGGCCATTCTCCACTGCTTTTCTCAGGCCATTAGCAGGGAGCTGGGTCAGATGTGGAGCAGCTAGGACATGAACCACTGCAAAAAGGATGCCACAACACCAGCCACTATACAACAACACCCGCCCCAAACTTATATTTTAATTCATTTTTTCATGATGTTTAAAGCAGCCTTGTATGCATGCATATAAGACTTTCAGAAGTATGTAAGAAACTGTTAAGAGCAGTTTCTTCTGGGAAATTTGAGTAGGATAGAAAGAAGGGAGTAACACTTTTATTTTATGTTCTGCTGCAATATTTGAATAGCTTATATGTGATATATTATTTTTAAAGATTTATTGATGTTATTTGAGAGGTGGAGCCTCAGAGAGAAAGAGAGAGAGGGAGAGAGAGAGAGAGAGAAAGTGGTAGAAAGAGAGAGCGAGTGAGCGAGAGATTTATCTTCCATCCACTGGTTCTCTCCCCAAATTGCTGCAACATCTAGGATAGACCAGGCTGAAACCTTGAGTCAGGAAACTCATCTGGGTCTCTCACGTGTGTGGTAGGGATTCTAGCACTGGGGCCATCTTACACGGCCTTCCCAGGTGTTAGCACAGGAAGCTGGATCAGAAGAATAGCCGGAACTGAAACACCACAATTCTGGCTCCCCCAGATATTATGTTTATAATGAAAAATTCTGTCTGGTTTTAAAATGATAATTTGTATATCCTGGAACAGAAAAAGGACATTAGGTAAAAAGTACAGAAATGCAAATAAATGAGATTTATTCAATAATGCTATATCAATATAGCTTCTTTAATTTTAATATAAGATGATAATAAAGGGGCCAGCACTGTGGCATAGCAGATAAAGCCACCACCTGTAGTGCCCGTATCCCATATGAGTGCCAGTTTGAGTCCTGGCTTCTACACTTCTGATTCTGCTCTATGCTATGGCCCGGGAAAGCAGTGGAAGATGGCTCAAGTCCTTGGGCCCCTGCACCGGCATGGGGGACCCGGAGGAAGCTCCTGGCTCCTGGCTTCAGATCAGTGCTACAGAAGAGAAGATGTTTAAAAGTGTTTAAACAATTCTTTAAGTGAGTAAGAAGGAGTGCACAGAGAGTAGATGTAAGTGGTCAGTGTAATCCATTTAACCAGCTCTGTGAGTGGTCATTTCTGTAAGATCTTTTTCCTTTAAGTTGGCACCACAGGAGGAAAACCAGGGCACTCCACTCCTAGACGTTTTCAAGTTGTATTTCTTCCCTCCTTATGCATCAGGGCGGATTGTAGCAGTTTGTTGAGTTCTTTGCAGGGTTGGGATTAGGGAACAGAGACCTGCCATCTCTTTGCCTTTGACATTAAGACATTGTTAAATTAATTTTTTGAATTAATTTATATCTTCAACAGAGGGAGGCATTTTCATTTCACCTTTCCAGGTAGTAGAGGGAGATCTGTACACCCTCATTCCAGTTGATTCAGGCACCAAGTTTGAAGAAAGGGGTCCTCTGTAGTGTCGTTACAGCCAGCTCCTTCATCCTTCTTTGATTTCCTCTAACTTTGGCTTCTGGGCCATTTTACTCCTATTGTTTTACTTCTATCCTGTTTCTGTTGCCATCACATACTAATTCCCACATCACAGCACTCACAATTTTATATTGTGACAAAAGTGTGCACATGGGAAGAGAGCAGAATGTTGTTAGTCTGTAGAGGAATTTTAAAACAGTGATCAGTGGGGCAGGTGTTGTGGTGCAGCAGGTCAAACCACCACTTAAGTGCCCAAATCCCATTTTGGAATGCAAGTTGAAATCCTGTCCACTCTGTTACCAAACCAGCTTTCCTCTAATGCATCCTGGAAGGCAGTGGATGGTAGCTCAAGTGCTTATGTCTCTGTCACCCATGTCAGAGAGCCAGATGGTGTTCCTGGGTCAGTTATGGCTATTTTGACCATTTGGAACATGAGCCATCTCTCTGTCTCTCTCTGTCTCTGTCTCTCTCTGTCATTCTGCCTTTCAAATAGATAAAAATGAGTAAACATTTAAAAAATAAAACAACTAGTTTTGTTAGATATTAGTCTACTAATATCTAGCCTGCTTCTTAATCGCTTTCTGTACTGGGAATTTTAAACAACATTCATTGTAAATTATTTCTCCAAAAATCTATTGAGTCATCCACTCCAGAAACCTGAAAGTCATCCTTAATGGCTGCTTTTCTTAGCTCTCATATGTGGGGAGCAGCTCGGACTAGACTGTTACTGGAATTAAGACTTATTCTATGCATCTGCTCTCCCACAATATGGCGCTGGGAGAGAAGTAAACAGCTTCCGCACAGCTGCCTCCAGTTCAACCAATTAACTGTAGGACTTGCTCCTGATTGGAGAGCAGCGTACTCAGCCGAGTTGGGATTGGCGGAGGAGGACTATAAAGGAGGAGAGAGACGGCATGCACCAGGAACATCTATGGGGAACATCTAGCTGAAGGAACACCCGTGCAGCCCCCGAGAGACCCGGCCGGCGGTGTGCCGCTCCCCTGCGGAAGTGGGGAATGCGGCCAGGGGGAACTGCCCTTCCACGGAGGTGGAAGGGATAGTAGCCAACCCGGGAAGAACCAGCAGTAAACCCGGGGAGGGCCGAGCAGACGAAAGAACAGCGCAGGGTCCTGTGTTGCTCCTCCACGAAGAGGGGGAGCGACACTCATAGCCAACCCATCACCCAGTGTAGCTTATTTCTGATTACTCTTTATTTCCTGGTTCTGTAAGTTTCTCTTCCCTTTACTCTCATTGCTGCTGCCTGTGTGCAGGCCTCACCATTGCTCTCCAAGATGAAACCAGTCTCCTGCCTTCTTTCTGTACCTGGAAATCCACCGTATAGGAAGTTACCAGGAAGCCCCTCTGTCCATCAGGATCTCTGTTCTCATTGAAACCCTCTGATGTCTCCCCATCATGTGCAAATCAAAGACCAAGCCATCTTGTAGAATACCTGACTGTCTGTATCCACCACTCTTAGACTTCAACTTTGTACTTGCCAAACACAATTCCCCGTGCTTGCTATGTTCTTCAGGCTGTTTTTGCTGTTGGTAGCCACACTGCTTGGAATGGTCCCCTCCCTGCTTTTCCTTACTGACTTCCTCATTCTGAAGGCTCAGCTCAGATGTTACCTCCTCCAAGAAACCTTCAATGACCATCCCAGGACAGGGCAAGTAACCTTTCAAAGAGGATTCTCTAGGCTAATCATGCATGTATCATGTTGGGCCATTATCTATGTATGATATGGCTTTCTTCCCAGCATAAGTGTCCTGGGGCAAAAATTGTCATCCAACTTCATATTATTGTGCCAAGTTTGATGCTCAACATGACTTATACTACCTAAAGTAATGTAAATGCTATGTGAATGGTTGTTATATTCTATTGTGTGGGAAATAATGGCAAGAAAATGTTTTTACATGATAAGTATAGATGCATTTTTTTCCAGATGTTTTCAATCTGCACTTGGTGGTTGAATCCACGGATGCAGAACTCATGGATATGGATGGCCAGCTGTAGTTTCTGTGGAGATGGAGGACATGACAGTCCTGAGACAGGACTTTGGGGGGTTGTAAAGTACTGTCTACCTTGAGGGTCTACTTGAATTCTAATTTTCTCTTTTTAAATCATGATAGCCAAACACTAAAATGCATGGGACCTTTCAGAATTATGTTACCCAACACAGTGGCCACAACCACTTATGGTTTTTTAAATTTGAAAGGAATGAAATAAAAGCTCAGTTCCTTAGACAAATTTGCCAAACTTCAAGTTCTCAATAGTCACACTTTACATATTGGACTTGTGACACACACAGAACATTACCATCTTTGCAGAGAGTATGGTTGGACACCACTGTTTTAGAATGAGAGAATCTTGGGGGCTGGCACTGTGGTGCATGCCGCGAGCGTCTCGGGGAGTGTGGCCGGCAGACTCAACCCAGGGCCCGCGACGACGGTTTCTCGGGCAAGAAAAGAACGAACGACGTTTATCGCCCTTCAGTAGACTTTTTATTAGAGAAAGTAGACGTGACAGAGGTAGAGAGGAAGGAGGAAAGGAGAGGAGAGAAAAAGAGCTTCCTCTTTACACCCGCGGCTTATATACAAAATGCGACCAATCAGGAGCAAGCTAGAGTCCATGCATCAAGCACACCAATCCGGTCTCTGTTCACATGAAGGGCACGCGTCCTTCGGCCAATCGGGTGAGGTGTCACGCAGCAGGCAGGCAGGCAGACTGACTGCGGGGGTCCTGCTGCCATCTTGTTGTTTACTGCGACCTCGATCCCTCCTCCTCCGGAGAGCCCCGCCCATAGGAAAGCCCCCCGGTCAAAACCGAAAGTAAAAACCTCCGCCTAGCGATGCCGCGGACTATTCCCTGACAGGTGCAGTGGGTTAAACTGGCATATGCTGCACCACCATCCCATATGGGCGCAAGTTCAAGTCTCGGCTGCTCTGTTTCCGATCCAGTTCCCTGCTAATGTGCCTGGGAAAGCAATGGAGGATGTCCCAAGTGTTGTACCTGAAGGAGGCTCCTGGTTCCTGACTTCAGCCTAGTCCAGCCCCAGCTATCGCAGCCATTTGGGAAGTGAATGAGCTGATGGAAGATCCCTCTCTGTCTCTCCCTCTTTCTCTGTAATGCTGAATTATAAATAAATAAATAAATCTTAAAAAGAAACAGAATGGGAGAGCCTTGATGAGTAATATCAAAGTCACCTTACATTAGCGGAAGCTTAAATTATGAAATAAGAATTATTTTAATTTTTAGGTTTTGTTTTTTAAAATCAGAATTATAGAGAGAAGAGATAGCGAGAGAGACACAGAGACATCGTCCATCCACTAGTTTACTCCCCCAGATGGCTTCAATGGCCAGTACTGTTCGAGGCAAACCCCAGGATCCAGGAGCTTCGTCTGGGTCTCCAACATGGGTAGCACGGACCCAAACACTTGGGCCATCTTCTGCTGGTTTCCTAGGCCATTAGCAGGGAGTTGAATTGAAAAGTGGCATAGTCAGGCCAGCACCATGGCTCATTTGGTTAATCCTCCGCCTGTGGCGCCAGCATCCCATATGGGCGCCGGGTTCTAGTCCCGGTTGCTCCTTTTCCAGTCCAGCTCTCTTCTGTGGCCCGGGAAGGCAGTGGAGGATGGCCCAAGTGCTTGGGCTCTGCACCCGCATGGGAGACCAGGAGGAAGCACCTGGCTCCTGGCTTCGGATCAGAACAGTGTGCTGGCCATAGCGGCCATTTGGGTAGTGAACCAATGGAAGGAAGACTTTACTCTCTCTCTCTCTCACTGTCTAACTCTATCTGTCAAATAAATTTAGAAAAAAAAAAAAAAGAAAAGAAAAAGTGGCACAGCCGCAACATAAAGCATATGTTATGTCAGCATTGCAGGTGGTGGTTTTACCCACTACACCAGCCCCAATAATTTTTTAAAAATTTATTTTTTAAAATTAATATGAAGAAAACAGATTTCCTGTTGTTCATACATACAGTTGTAAGAGTATAATGGTACTTACCCTCCCTCCCTCACCTCTCTTTCCTTTCTATTTAAATTTTTGTCATAACATTTTTAATTTACTTTATGGTCATAGGCCTTATGTTCCATAAATAAAGAATTCGGTAATTTAAAAAGTAGAGCATTGTTGAATAAAAATATAGAAGTGCTATAAATAATAATTAAATGAGAAAATGTTAGTTTCACTCATATACTTTGATTATTTTTTGGATTCTGTATTAGCTACCACAAATCAGAGAAAATGTGATGTTTGTCTTTTTGTGTCTGGCTTATTTCACTAAGCATATAATGGTCTCCAGTTGCACCCATTCTGCTACAAATGATGGAATTTCATTCTTTTTTATAGCTAAGAAGTATTTGTTGTATAGATAGACCACATTTTCTTTATCTGATCAACAACTGGTGAATTGAGCAGCTATAAACATGGAGATATAGATAACTCTTTCATATGTTGATTTCATTTCTTTTGGGTATATTCTCAGGAGTGGGATAGCGGGGTCATATTTTAGATCTATCTGAGGACTCTCCATGTTGTCTTCCATAGTGGTTGTTCCAGTCTACATTCCAATTAACATTGTATTAGGGTACTTTTATCCATATCCTTTTCAATATTTTTTATGTTGTGATTTTTGGATGATAGCTGTCTAACTGGGTAGAGGTGAAACTTTATTTACTTTTTAAAAAAGATTTATTTATTTGAAAGGCAAAGTTGAAGACAGGTGTGGGACAGGAGGGTCTTCCATCTGCTGGTTCACTCCCCAAATGGCTGCAACTGCTAGAGCTGGGCCCATCTGAAGCCAGGAGCCTGGAGCTTCTTCCAGGTCTCCCATGTGGGTGCAGGGGCCCAAGGATTTGGGCCATATTCTACTGCTTTCCCAAGCCATAGCAGAGAGCTGGATTGGAAGTGAAGCAGTCGGGACTGGAACTGGCCCCCACATGGGATGCACTGCAGTCAGCGGCTTTACCAACTGTGCCAAAGCACCAGCCCCTATTGATGTTCTTACTTAGATTTTCTTGATGGTAGTCATCCTGAGAATTTTTTCATGTGTCTGTTGGCCATTTCCTCCTTTGAAAAATGCCTGATCATATCTTTTAATCATTTCTTAAACTGTATCATTTGTTTTATTATTGTTGAGTTTCTTGAGCTCCTTATAAATTCTGGTTTAATCCATTATCAGATGCATGGTTTGCAAATATTTATCCCATTCCGTAAGTTGCCTCTTCACTTTGTTGAGTGATTAGTTTGCTGTGCAGAATCTTCTTCGCTTGATGTCATCCCATTTGTATATTTTGCTTTTATTGTCTGTGCTCTGAGATCTTATCCCAGAAGTCTTTGCCTAAGCCAATGTCAAGGTCTTACAGTGTTTTCTCTAGTTATTTGATGGTTTCAAGTCTTAAGTTTAGACCTTTGATCCATTGTGAGTTGATTTTTATATATGGTGTAAGGTAGGGATCTTGTTTCATATATAGATTCTGTTTTGTCAATACCATTTGTTGAAAAAACTCCTTTCTCCAGAGAGTGATGTTAGCTTGCTTGTTAAAAATTAGTTGGTTTTAGATATGTGGATTAATTTCTGGAATGTCCATTCTGTTCCACTGGTCCACCTATCTATTTTTGTGCCAGTACGAGGTTGTTTTGATTATAACATCTCTACAGAATGTCTTGACGTCTAGTATTTAGGTGCCTCCAGCTTTGTTTTAATTTTTTAAGATTGCTTTGGCTATTTAGCATCTCATGTGTTTCCATACGAACTTTAGAATCGTTTTTTCTAGATCTGAGAAGAAGGTTCTTGGTATTTTGTTTGGAATCACATTGAATCTGTAAATGGCTTTAGGTAATATGAACATTTTGATGTGATTACTTCTTCCAAGCCATGAACATGGAAGATTTTTCCATTGTTTGTATCTTTTTTTTTTTAAAGATTTATTTATTTATTTGAAAGGCAGAGTTAGAGAGAGACATAGGTAGAGACAGAGAGAGAGGTCTTCCATCCACTGGTTCACTCCCCAGATGGCCACAATGGCCGGAGCTGCGCTAATCCGAAGCCAGGAGCCAGAAGCTTCTTCCGGGTCTCCCACGTGGGTACAGGGGCCCAAGGACTTGGGCCATCTTCCACTGCTTTCCCAGGCCATAGCAGAGAGCCTGTTCGGAAGAGGAGCAACCGGGACTAGAACCAGCGCCCATATGGGATGCCGGCACTTCAGGCCAGGGCGTTAGCCCGCTGCGCTATAGCACCTGCCCCTGTTAGTGTCTTTTTCTATTTCTTCCCTTAATGCTTTGTAATTTTCATTGTAGAGGTCTTTCATGTCTTTGGTTACATGCTTGCCAAGTACTTACACTTTTCATAGCTATTGTGAATGAGAGTGTTCTTGTAAGTGCTTTCTTAGCGATAGGATTATTAGTGGCTTTCTGGGAACTATATAAGAAATGGTGTACATAACAGTATGTCATCTTATTTGAGCATATCTGTATTTTTAGGGATAACATTCAGACACTAATAATGTTCTAATATATATGAAAATGTTTTCTTATACAACTAAAAGGAGAAAGGGAAGAATGTGACTTGAATAAGTGGAATTATTTATTTTTCTGCTTCACATTATTATACAAATTCAAAGCAGCTAAAATGTGTCCTGGAAGTAAATATTTATATTTCTTAAGAAAAGCTATACATCCTTTCTTTGAATGCAGAGGTGTATTGTTGGGTAGTGTTAAAAAAAAAACTTTGAAATTAAAATAAAAATGGAAGTCAATACCTATTTTCTTTTTTTAAAGAATTTATTTATTTTATTTGAAATGTAGAGTTATATATAGAGAGAGATGGAGAGACAAAGAGAAATCTTCTATCTTCTGGTTTACTCCCCAAATGATCACAATGGCTGGGATTGGATCAGGCTGAAGCCAGGAGCCCAGAGCTTCCTCTGAGTATCCTTCTTGGGTGCAGGTGCCTAAGGACTTGGGCCATCTCCTTCTGCTTTCCCAGGTGCATTCTCAGGAAACTGGATTGGAAATGGAGCAGCCAGGACTCTAACTGGTGCCCATATGGAATGCCACAACTGCAGGTGGCCCAAGTATCTACTTTCCCCTTTTCCTTCCCAGTTGCCATCTCTATCGGACTTCCAGCAGTCAGAGTGGCCAAAGGTTGCTGCTCTAAGAAGTTCTTAGAATGTCATGGAACTCGCTAGAATCTCTTATTGTGGAGTAGCTACTTTGTATATGTTGGATACCAATACCTTAGATGAATGGGATGTTTGGAATGATTGTTCTGAAAGAAAATACAAGGATTTACCTGTGATTGCCATCCATAGAAAATACGGTGTGAAATCACCCCAAGATTAATGATCCTGCCTGGTGTCTGATACTCAGTTCAGAGGCTACAGGAGGTGGGACCTTATCATGATTTGGGGCAGCTGTTTGATTTTATATCAATTGGTTCTTATTGTAACCTGTTCACAACAGTGCCTGAGTAAGTTCTCAGGTTTTAAACATAATTGGGGGACAGAATGTGAGATTCAGTGGGAGAGGGTGTTGAATTTCTGCTTTTCCCTTTCTGTCTGTCTTTCTGGATCCAAAAGAGTACCTGAAAGTTGGACTGTAGTGTAAAACCATTAATGAAAGAATGGAGAATGAAGGATGTTTATTCCAGACAATCTGCCCAATGTTTTTGTAGTACTGGTTAACCTTTGTATTTACAAGTGAGTCATTAGAATTTCAGCCACCATTGTGGCTTAGCAGATTAAGCTTTCGTCTGCAGTTCCAGCATGCTATAAAGGTGCTGGCATCCTATGTAGGCATTGGCATCCTATACGGGTGCCACCAGTTGAATCCTGGTTGATTCACTTCCAATCTAGCTCCCTGCTACTGTACCTAAGAAAGCAGCAGAGTTCTCTCACATTGGCCCCTGCACCCATGTGGGAGGCCCAGAAGAAGCTCCTGGCTTTGGCCTGGCCCAGCTCTGGCCATTGTGGCTATTTGGAGAATGAAACAAAGGCTGGAAGACCTCTTTCTTTCTCTCTCTGTCCCTCTCTCTCTCTGTAACTCTGCCTTTCAAATAAATAAAACAAATTTTAAAAAAAAGGAATTTCAGGTATCATTTGATTTTTTTTTTTTGAGATTGTTTGAGATGTTCATGGTCTTTTAAAAATTTTCAACTCTGTCTTATTACAAAGAAAGGCTCATTTTAAACACTTCAAGTTGTCCTTTGAGAAAGCCTAGTGGTATGACCTTGGAATTTGAAAGAAACTCTGCTCACCATTTGGACAAGTTTAAGTGTTTGCACCTTAATTTTATAATGTGTAAAATGGAAATAGTAATGCTTACCTTATAAGCTAGAGAAGTACAAATTCTAGAGGTGCAAAAAAACCTTGCTAATTTCAGAAAGACCTTTAGCTAATTAACATACCATTCTCTCTGGTCATGTTTATATTTGGCCATATGTATAGCTAATTCAAAAGGTTCATGGAGGCCGGTGCCGCGGCTCACTAGGCTAATCCTCCGCCTCGCGGCGCCGGCACACCAGGTTCTAGTCCCGGTCGGGGCGCCGGATTCTGTCCCGGTTGCCCCTCTTCCAGGCCAGCTCTCTGCTGTGGCCAGGGAGTGCAGTGGAGGATGGCCCAAGTGCTTGGGCCCTGCACCCCATGGGGGACCAGGATAAGTACCTGGCTCCTGCCATTGGATCAGTGCGGTGCACCGGCTGCAGCGCGCTAGCTGTGGTAGTCATTGGAGGGTGAACCAACAGCAAAGGAAGACCTTTCTCTCTGTCTCTCTCTCACTGCCTGTCAAAAAAAAAAAAAAAAAGTTCATGGAAAATGAAAAAAATATGTCATTTTGATACAAAAATTGTTTGAAATCCATGCATAGTTTTTTAATAATATGCATTCCCATGAAATTTTTAAAAATCTGTACTTATTTATGTAATTGAAAGGCATAGCAAGAGAGAGAGACAGGCAGATAGTGAGGAGGAGATTATCTGTCTGATGATTTACTCCTCCAATGGCTACAAGAACTAGGACTGGGTCAAGCCAGGAGCCAGGAACTCCATCTGAATCTCCCACCTGAATGGCAGGGATTCAGGTGTCTAAGTAATTATCTACTCCTTCTCAAGAGCGTCAGCGCGGAGTTGGATCCGTAGTAGAGAATTCAGACTAGAACTCCAGTTGAGAGTGAGGGCAGCCTAAACAGTGACTCAACATGCAGTGTCATAACACGTGTCCCTTCATGAACTTTTTTTTAAAAGATTCTATTTATTTATTTGAGAAGTAGTGTTACAGAGAGAGCGACAGAGAGACAGATAGAGGTCTTCCATCTGCTGGATCACTGACCTGATGGCTGCAAAGGCCAGAGCTGGGCTGATGTGAAGCCACGAGCTTCCTTTGGATCTCTCCTGTGGGTGCAGGGGCCCACGCACTTGGACCATCTACTACTGCTTTCCCAGGCCATAGCAGAGAGCTGGGTCAGAAGAGGAGCAGCCAGGACATTAGCCGGACCCATATGGGATGCTGGCGCTGCAGGCGGAGGCTTAGCCCACTACACTGCAGCGTTGGCCCCAAACTTTGGTGGTCCTTTCCTGTTTGTTTTACTCTGTATATTTACAGAGTTAAAACTGTTCAGGAGGTCCGGCGCCGCGGCTCACTAGGCTAATCCTCCGCCTTGTGGTGCCGGGACACTAGTCCTGGTTGGGGCACCAGATTCTGTCCCGGTTGCCCCTCTTCCAGGCCAGCTCTCTGCTGTGGCCCGGGAGTGCAGTGGAAGATGGCCCAAGTGCTTGGGCCCTGCACCCCATGGGAGACCAGGAGAAGCACCTGGCTCCTGCCATCAGATCGGCGCGATGCACCCGCCGCAGCGCGCCTGCCGTGGCGCCATTGGAGGGTGAACCAACGGCAAAAGGAAGACCTTTCTCTCTGTCTCTCTCTCTCACTGTCCACTCTGCCTGTGGAAAAAAAAAAACAAAAAACAAAAAACAAAAAACAAAAAACAAAAAAAACTGTTCAGGAGAAAGGGCTCTACTGAAATGTGAGATAATCTCAGAATCTATACTGCTAGAGAATTAATCAGAAAATAAAATGGGATGTGATCAAAAAGCTCTGTTTAAATAGCAAAAGTCTTTTAAAGATAAATTGCTGTATTATCTAAAAGAAAATGGAGTTGAAAAACTTGGAAACTTGAACACTGAAAGGATTATTCATTAACAAATAACAAATCCCTTGGTTATTTGTAAGTTTCACTATTTTCAATACTATGATTTACTAGTTTTAGTCTAACCCAAGAGAAACAACAAATTGTTTCCAAAAGGTTTTTGGGGACAGACTGCTTAGTTTTGATTGTCCACATGCATTGTTACAGACTGCTTAGTTTTGATTGTCCACGTGCATTGTTACAGAGTTGCAAAAGTCAGATTTGATGGAACTCTAAAACATAGGTGCAATAATCAAGTATTTCTGTTTAGAATATTACAGTGGTCATAACAAAGGGAAATGAAATTCTTTTTTTATTTTTGCATTTTTCAATGGCTTAAGTACTTTATTTTTTTTCCCAAAGAAACCTTTTATTTAAACTTCATGCATTTCAAAAGTACAGCTTTAGGAATGTAGAAATTCTTCCCACCATACCTGCCCTCCTACCCATTCTCTCACCCCTCCATCTCCTCCTCTCCTATTCCCAGTCCCATTCTCCACTAAGATCCATTTTCAATTAACTTTATACACAGAAGAGCAGCTCTATACTAAGTAAAGAGTTCAACAATTTGAATAGAAAAAAAAAAAACACCTATTCCTCAACAGCCAAGAGAAGGGCTGTTCAAAGTCATTGCATCTTGAAGTTAATTTTACTTTTTTTTTTTTTTTTTTGAGAAACTTAATGAACCTTAAAGGAGCACCCAAGAATGATACATCTTTTGTGAGGAGACATACAAATATCCTCCATTTAATACATTAAAAGAAAGTAAGTCCTTGAGCAGGTTTTATCATTAATTAAGGAATCACCTAAGCAAAGAAGCAATGGAGTTAGACATTTAGGCATAACTAAAACTTATGAGACATAAGAATATCCTCCACTTAATACACTAAAATCAAATAAATCTTTGAGAACAAGTTTCAGTGTTAATTCTCATAATATAGCTGTTTGAGACAGAGGTCCTGCATGGGAAGTTAGTGCACAGTGACTCTTGTTAATTTCACAATTAACACTCCTATGTATGATGTCAGTGATCATCCAGGGCTCTTGCCATGAGTTGCCTAGGCTTTGGAAACCTTTTGAATGCACAGCCTTCTTCGTATTTAGACAAGGCCATAAGCAAAGTGTAAGATCTCTCCTCCCTTCAGAGAAAAGTACATCCTTCTTGATGACCACTTCTTTCCCCTGGGGTCTCACCTACAGAGGTCCTTCATGTAGGACATTTTTTGCCACAGTATCTTGGCTTTCCATGCTTGAAATGCTCTCATGGGCTTTTCAGCCAGACCAGAATGCCTTAAATGCTGATCCTGAGGTCAGAGTGCCACTTAAAGTGATTGTCATTCCATGAATCTGCTGTATGGACTGCTTCCCATGTTGGAGGGAGGGTTTGAGGTGAAGTATCCACTATGTTCCTAAATTTGTATATATGGAACTTGTAGAACTTAAATAAAATTTTTTTTAAAAAAGGTTAAAAATTGAAGAAATGAAAAAAGAAAAAAACTGAGAGATCAGAGAACACAGCCTCTTACCCCATGAAGGAGGGGAAATCAATAAAAGTCTTCCTGGGAAAGTCACCTGGACTTTTCTCTTAATTCAAAAAGGAGAGAGAGAGAGCACCCATCCTCTGGGTCACTCTCCAGATGCGTACGATGGCCAGGGTAGGCCAGGCTAAAGCTGGAAGTTAGGAACTCAGTAGAAGTCTCCAAATTTTCCCACATGGCTGGCAGGGATCCAACTGCTTGAAGCATCACCTGCTGCCTCCCAGTTCTGCACTCACAGGAAGCCAGAATCAGTACCCAGAATTTGCTAATGAAACCAGGTACTATAATATGGGATTATGTATTTTAACTGCTGTGTCAAATACTGAAATACCTACTCTTAGGGTGAGGTGTTTTTTTTTTTTTTTTTTTTTTTTTTTTTTTTTTTTTTTTTGACAGGCAGAGTGGACAGTGAGAGAGAGAGAGAGAGACAGAGAGAAAGGTCTTCCCTTTGCCGTTGGTTTACCCTCCAATGGCCGCCGTGGCTGGCGTGCTGCAGCTGGCGCACCGCGCTGATCCAATGGCAGGAGCCAGGTGCTTCTCTTGGTCTCCCATGGGGTGCAGGGCCCAAGCACTTGGGCCATCCTCCACTGCACTCCTGGGCCACAGCAGAGAGCTGGCCTGGAAGAGGGGCAACCGGGACAGAATCCGGCGCCCCGACCGGGACTAGAACCTGGTGTGCCGGCGCCGCGAGGCGGAGGATTAGCCTATTGAGCCGTGGCACTCGCCAGGGTGAGTCTTGAATGATGTTTATTCACATGATGACTGGATAAGAGAAAAGCAGAAGATTGAACTCTAAGAACAAAGTGAGTATTAATGCATCAGACAGTTTGCATGTGCTTGTAAGTACAGGACTGTCTGTGTCAGTAGTGTATAAATATGCATGAAGTGAGAAGTCATTGACTATAAAGGAGAGTGGTATCGATGGAGAACAGCTCAGGAAGGGCCAGGTGCACTCTGTAAGGGACTAGACTAATATACTAGTATATTATTATATTAGTACTAATGTGCTATTTAATTAGTACTTGTGTACTAATGTATAGGCTCATGGGGAGACGTGGAAGCATTTTACCCAGAGGTGTAAATGGTTAGATTTGCCTTTTGGATGAATTGCAGTAGCAGCTCAATGGATCACAGAGTTGAGGCTGGTCTATACAGTGCTATTGTCGCAGGCCATTGAGGAGAGTACACACATGCATAAAAGCAGTGACAGTCACTGCTGCAGAGGAGATAGGTTTGAGATGTTTCCAAGAATTGAAGTTGAGATGACTTTTGTTAATTGGCTGTGAATGGTATGAGACACCAGAATGTCTCTGGAAATTCTGTTGCACTATGGACCTAGGAAATAAATGAACAAGAGTACGAGGGCCAAGAGGATATCCTCATAATGAAATGTCCTTTGCGCAGTTGAATGTGAGTCTGTTGCTCTGGCAGCGCGAGTGGCTGGAGAATTTGGTCATTTGCCTAGGGTGGTGGCTAGAACAATGCAAGAAGATGTTCAAGGTCCACTGGGAAGGCAGAAGACTGGATAAAGGATGAAGTCCTAGGGTACATCAGACTGAAGTTGAGGGATGGGTGAAAGAAGACTTTTCTGGAAAATATACAGAATAATGAGTCAGAAGCTGGGAGAAGAGACTTTTATGATGTTTGTATATGGGAAAGCTTATCCCACTTAACTCACTATAGTGTTTAGTGAAGTACCATGCAAGGCAAGATGGAATGATTAGTATAGGGAGAATGGAAATTATTTGGAACACTCTAGTCCTTGAAGGAAATGGAAATGAGATGATGGAGGTAAAGTATATAATGTGAGAATGGGCCACGTGTTGTGGCACCATGGGATGGGCTACTACCTGTGATGCTGGCATCCCATATCAGAGAGGCTAGTTTGAAACCTAGCTGCTCCGCTTTTTTTAAGATTTATTTATTTGAAAGGCAGAGTTACAGAGAGGCACAGGCAGAGGCAGAGAGAGAGAGAGAGAGAGATCTTACATCCACTGGTTCACTCCCCAGATGGCTGCAACGGCCGGGGCTGCACTAATCCAAAGCCAGGAGCCAGGAGCTTCTTCCGGGTTTCCCACGTGGTTGCAGGGGCCCAAGGACTTGGGCCATCTTAGACTGCTTTCCCAGGCCGTAGCAGAGAGCTAGATCGGAAGTGGAGCAGCTGGTACTCGAACCAGTACCCATATGGGATGCTAGTACTGCAGGTGGCGGCTTTACCCACTGTGCCACAGCGCTAGCCCCGCGCTCCTTCTGATGCAGCTCCCTGCTAATGCACCTGGGAAAGTAAGCAGAATATGATCCCAGTACTTTGGTTCCTGCCACTCAGGTGGGAGACCCAATTGGAGTTCCTGGCTCCTGTCTCTGGCCTTCCCCAGCCCTGGCCATTGTGGCCGTTTGGGATGTGAATCAGCAGGTAGAAGGTCTCTCCTCTCGTTTCTGTAACTCAGCCTTCTTTTACATGATATTAAAAATTGTGAATTTATAGTGTCCTAGTGTACACGGCTCCCCAACTTGTGTGTTGGACAGATCAGAATAGCAGACAGGGACATTCATCCAGAGTAGGGGAATTTACTATGTAGGAGGTACGCCAGAGAAGCAAGATATCAGGGCGATGTCGTCGTGTGGTGGGCTAAGCCACCATTTTGCATGCCCACATTCTGTATTGGGTCTTGGCTGTTCTTCTTCTGCTGTAGTACATCTGAAAAGGAAAAAGAAAAGATGACCCAGTTACATGGGCCCTTGCTACTCCTGTGGGAGGCCAGATGATGTTCCCGGCTTCTGGGTTCATCCTTGCCTAGTCATGGCTATTGTGAGCATTTGGATAGTGAACCAGTGACTGCAAACTCTCTCCTTATCTCTCTCACCACATTTCAAATAAATAAATCTTTTTAAAAGAGAAAGGGGCTGGGATTGTGGCACAATGGATTACGTTGACTCTTGCAATGCTGGTATCCCATAGTAGCACCTGTTCGAGTCCTGGATGTTCAACTTCTGATCTCTCTCCCTGCTAATGCACCTGGGAAACAGTGGAGGATGGCCCAAGTGCTTGGGCCCCTGCCACCCATGTGGGAGACCCAGATGGAGTTCTGGCTTCTGGCTTTAGTCTAGCTCAGCTCCAGTTATTGTGGCCATTTGGGGAGTAAACCAGTAGATGAAAGATCTGTCTTTCCTTCTTTTTCTGTAATACTGCCTTTCCAATAAATACAAAAATCTTAGGAAAAAATAAAATCAAGATTTGAGTTTGTGTTATGTGATAGGGGATGTGCTGGTAGGAGTAGGAAAGGAAATATGGCCAGGAGGATCCCAAGGGGGTGTTAAGGAAACAGTTCTTAGATCTAGGGTTATGTGTATGATCAAAAACAGTTGTAGTGGGATAAGGGTAGGAGGCTGTAGGATGGTAGAGATTTCAGGACAAAGCTGTGTCAGGGTGTGGCTATGAGAGTGGGTTGTAGAAGTAGCCTGGCTGTAAGCAGGTTAGAGGGCAGCTTGTAATGATGACTTTGAAAATGTGGGGAGAGAGGACTTTCAGAGAATGATTTTTATCCCACTTATAGGATTCAGATTGAATTATAAGTCTAAACGTGAATAAAAACTATTTGGGGATGTGCGTTTGACTCAGCAGTTAGGAAGCCACTTGCTATGTTATTGCATATTGGAGTACCTGGGTTTCAGTCCCAGTTGCACTTGCAATTCTAGCTCCCTGCAAATGTGTACCCTGGAAGAAAGTGGATGATGGCTTGGGTAGTTTGATCCCTGGCACTCATATGGGGGACCTGGATTGCATTCTGGTCTCGTGATTTTGACCTGGCCCAGCTCCAGCTGTTGTGAGCAGTTGTGGTGTGAAAAAGCAAATAGGCAATTTCTTTGTCTCTCCATCTCTCTGCTTTCCAAATTAATAAAATAAATATGTTAAAAAAATCATTTGGGTGTATAAGAACACAGTGGTTACATTGGTGTCCTAAATATCTGGAGCAGTCATCCTAGGTTCAGGGTCAGGAAAGGACAAGGATACTGATGTGATTCTGTTGTCAGTAACTTATGGTTTGGGGAGTAGCCTGAGTTGAGAAAAGCCTTGA